CCAACTTTTTTTTTTTTTTTCTACAGAGACTCTGAAATTATGCAGCAAAAGCAAAAAGCGGCTAATGAGAGGAAGTCTCTGCAGGCAGGTGCAAAATGAGCTGCCTGTGTGGAGAAGATGGAGTGCACCAATGAAGAGAGGGGCCTGGAAGATCATTCATAAGTGTCTGACCATTACATGACTAAACATCTATCTTGCGGAGTTGTTCAACTAGCATTAGTTTAGAGTATTTTCTGGTTAGCATAGACTTAGTTGTCTGGAGTGCTATTTCAAAACTGACTACACTCTTCTGCATGCATATGAATAAAACTATCAAGCAATGGCTTTAGTCCAGCTTTTGCTGCATTAGTTGGTTTCACTTAATGGTTCCAGTAACAATTTCTGAATCTACAGTTAGACCAGATTTTTCTTGTCTTAATTCTTGAAGCACAGCTTCATTCAGAATGGAATACACTTGTAAAATGTGCTTAACCTTACAGAGGTCTGAACTGTAAATCTCATCTTAAATTATTTTTACAATAAAATGTTGCATGAAATACTGTCTAGTCTGAAATGGTTATGCTTGATAATCGGTTCATTTCTGAGAAGTTACCAAGAACACAAAGAATAGATAGAATTGTGGAGAAATGCAATGTAAGTATGTAAGTGTAATAATATAAATAAAATACATACTATAAGAAATGCGTATTATAAGCAATATAATATGCAGTGGTAAGTCTGCGCTATAGAAAAAGTTGCCTATCGGGTTGCAGACTTCACTGCTGTAGGTAACTGTGAATCTACTACTGATAATAACTTCAGAGAAGCTGCAGGCTTGATGTTAATGAGTTGCAGATGTAAGCAATCTTGAAATTGCTGCGTCACTAGAATTTAAAACTGCTGCATAAACCAGCTGTAAGAATAAAACTTAGCGTGAGAAAACTCAGCGCTCGCTTCACAGACATGCTTGAGCATGTTGTGTACTGACGGAGGTGAAACTGGTTTAAATCTCTGGAGAGAGAGAGAGAACTTTGAAGCCTTTGCTTGTGTGAACTCTACAGGAGCTAAGGGCGTTTATTGTTAACCGGCCCTGGGCACAGCTCGAGGAGAGTCTGAAGAAACCGTAGCTGGTTTTGGCAATGCAATACCTGCGGTTGGTGAGAAATGAAGCAGGTTTTGTTGTTTTTTTTTTTTTTTTTCCGCTTCCTCTCAGTTGGCTCCGTCTTGGTTCCTGCTGTCAAGTCCGCCGGGCCGGTCACGGGTGCGAGCCCAGGGCCCGCACACGCAGTTGGGCCAAGCGCCGTCAGGAGCGGGCGGTGCAGCCCGACTGATGGGGATCGTTAAAACAGATCAAGCGCTTGGCAGCGGCCGGCGGCGCTGGCCGGCGCGGCGCGGGGGGACGAGCTCTACGGGAGCCCGGCGGAGGCGCAGGGGCCGCTCGGGGTCCTGCTCCGCC